CTTAGGGGTTGAGGGCAATTGGACGAAATTCGAATGATAAACAGTGGGTTAAAGGCAACAACCAACAAGCAACCAATTGGGCAAGAGGAACAAAGCAGGGTGAGGACAGTAAATAATGAACAAGCTAAGAACAATGGAGCCTTTGCAAAATCCTTTGAAAAGAATGAACATGCTAAGCACAATGATTTCCAATCCAAATTGATTCTTCCTTCTTGTTCTTGACTTCAATTTCTCTTAGTTTTTTTTTTTTTTTTTTTTTTGATAAGGGCAATGATTAGTAGATTAGTATTATTAGATGTTAGCAACTGGGGATTTGATCTCTAGATCTGGTGAACAACCCACCAACCTCAATGAGGCACGCGGCCATCAGGTCACTTGGTAGAGTTCCAATTTCTCTTAGTTTTGTTTATGCGATTTTGGAAGAATACTAGATTTGAACATTTTTACAAGGAAAAGTGTAGGATTTATAGATGAGATTGTGGTTGGTTTTGTTTGGATTTGTCTACAAGGTAGAAATCAGTTGATTTGGGGAGAAATTTGAAGTCCAGAGCAATGGAGCATAGGTTTTATAGATGACATTATGGTTGGTTTTGTTTGGATCTGTCTACAAGTTGATATTAGTTGATTTGGGGAGAAATTCGAAGTCCAGAGCAATGGGGGGGAGAGAGAATCATTTAATTAATTAAAATTAATTAACATAAAATGGTTAAATTCTTAATTAATTTATAAATATTAAAGGTAATTAACTTCTAATTTTTTAAACTAATATAATTTATTTAAAGAAAGTGGATCCCACTGTGTTTTAATTTATGATTAGATAATAAATTTAATTTAAATAAATAAATTATTAGATTTTGTACAAGTGTTATTTAAATTACAAGTGTCATTTAAATTAATAGATATGTGAGGCACACTATAAATTTTTTAGGTGTAACATGCTTTCATGTTTTGTTCATGTATTAGGTGTCATTACATGTCATCTAAAAGTGCCATCTTTGATCATTTAATGGACACTTTGGCTTTTAACTGATAAAATGACCAACAAAATACATCTTGTAAAGTTGAGGAATCAAAAAAATACAAAAAATAATTAAAAAATAAAAATTATGCATAATATTAAAGTTGATGGACCAAAATCAACATTTAACCTTTGCTGATTTAATGCAACGAACCCAGATTGAAAAGACTAAAATATTCAACCGGTAACCTTTTTTTTATCAAAGAAATAAACCCGTACGTGATTATTGAATATTGATTGATAATGGAATGCCCAACTAATCGTTAATTATTGAACACCTAGGGCAGGTTTGGTGGCATGAAATCGGTTGAGAAGGGAACAGAATTCTTGTTGGAATTAATTTCTTCAGAAGAGTGAAATTAAATGTTTAATAATGATTATTTTATATTATATAATATTATATCTAATATAGATAGCTTTCGAGTATCATTGACAACGTAGAAACTCTTAAATTTGAATTTTAAATAGTAGAGTAAGGACATATTCATTTAAATGTGAGAATAAATTATTTTTTAAAATTATTAATTAATAAAAATTATTTATCATTTAATATATAATACATTAAAAATTCATTTACTACTTAAATATATTTTTAATAAAAAATTAATGTATAATAATATTATATATTAAATAATAAATAATTTATTTTAATTAATAATTTAAAGAGATAATTTATTTTTATTTTTTAAAAAGACAAATCTGTTTATACCCTCTTATTTAAAAGGTGAATTTGGGGGAAGTTCATTGGCAATTTAGTACAAGCTGTATCAATGTGGGAATAGAATAGAAAATTTGTGATTTTACAAAAATACTCGCATTTTAAAATTTTGAGAAAATATCCCCTTAATGTAGGCTACAAGTAGGAGCTAAGGAGTGGCATACAAAGTGTACACCATAGAAATTAAACTACTTAATTACATAATGCATAAGGAATGCGACTTTTGATATGGAATTGCAG